AAAAAAAAAAAAAAAAAAAAAATGCAGGCAATTCCATGGCGAAGGAAGCTTATCTGTTCACCCAGAGACTGACAGAGTAAGCTTCCCACCCCCAAATTTCCTGATAAAGTCCTTTTGCAAATTTGGTGGTTCAGAGAAAAGAAGTCAGGTTTCCAAGGATCATGATTTTAATTTTGGTCAATTTTTTATTAAGTAACAAGAAAACAGAACTGGGATAAATAGAGACCTGGTTCTGCTCGCTATCAGTTTGCCAAGACAGTGCAGAAAGCAGACGGGTAAATGATTCCCATTGGGCCCCCTGACTACATCCCTGTCAGATCATTTGAATCTTATTAACTGAAGTACAGATAGAGTAAGGTCAGGAGAGCCCGGGCTTCTCCCTATTTCTGCGGTTTTTATATAACATTCAAGAATAAACCCCGTGCTGCCTGCGCTTGTTAATCTCTTGCATTTTTAAAAAGGAGAGAAAAAAAATAGTCTGGGAGAACCCAGTGTTAATTAACTTATGTCTTGGTGACATGAAATAATGCTTCTCCCTGCTACATTCCTAGGCAACATGTTAATTAACTCTGTGTTAGTGCAAGCGTTTCCAGCCATCCTTTCATATTTATATTATTGTTATTAAAATGGGCAGGAGTAAGCTTCAGACATGACACCTCTTGACAGAGGAGAAAAATCATTTCTTGCTTCAGGCATGGCCCTTTAGCCATGGACTTGTTTGCTTGCATTCTTAACATATCTGGCAGTGTCTTTGCAAAAGGCAAGCTGGAGGAGTGAGGAAATGGGTTCTATGATGGGATTCAGTCCTTTTCCCCCTGCCCACCCACCCCTGCCCCAGGAGAACTTCTCCCCCTGAGGGTCTCCAATGTTTGACTTGCCTGTTACAGTCCCTTTCAGACATTTAGCCTCAAATATTCATGAGACCCCCATGCAGAACCTAAGTAAACCCTGTGCTATTATGTTGTTTTCTTGGGAACCAAAGAGTAGCTGTTAATATCAGTGCCCAGCCCAGATCCCCTCGGATCGCTTTTTACCAATTTTTGTGTGCAGTGCCTCCCCACCCCTAAGTGTTTTACCTTCAGCAGCCAGCACCTGTGTCTGTTAAAGCCAGAAGTGTGCCCACTGCCCACGCCCCCCCATGCCCAACAGACCTGGCCCAGTGGCTGGCACTGCCGGAGACCAAAGTCCTGCAATCTTGCCGGGAGCCAGGGCCGCTTGGAGACATAACTTACACCCCAGAGTCCCCGTGCAGTCAGGCTGAAGCTCCCCTCGGACTTGGCCCGAGTGTGCAACTTTGCTTGCCTTGCACCCCTTCTGTCTGGCTTCCCTTGCCACCTTACCTGTTTCCCCTGATGACACTTCCTTAATAAATCCTGGTCTCAGGGTCTATTTCTGGGATATCCAGCCTAAGGCACCAATTCTTGGTGCCAGAGGTGAACGCTCAAGTTAGATGTCAAGTCCTGGCTATTTTCACTATTAGTGAAGTCCCAGCAAACCAGAGCTTGTAAGGGCCTGCAGAGGCCTTCTCTTCCAGTTCTATTGCGTTATAGCTTAAGACACAGAAGCCAGGGCAGAGGATGTCATTGGCTCTGGGGCACCCAGCTAGTTAGAGGTGATGCTGGGACCTGAACTTGTCTCCCAAATACGAGTCCTTCATCCTTCCCTTCATTAGCTGCCTGACGTGTGTTGTAATTTACCCCCAACTTCCCTTTAATAAACGCTCTCCTTCCGTAAGGGTCACACACCCCAGGTGGTTGGCTTCATTCCACACACACTGTTTTGTAAGTCACTTGGGCCCAAACTCAACTTACTGAACAATCAGGAAATCAGAACTGTCTTTCCACTCTGTGACCTCCAGGATGGCAGTTCCCTACAGCTCCACCATCTGCTGCCTTGGGATAAAATGTTCTCCCCCAGTAATGAGTTTGCTCCCAGGTGGTGCCTTGAAAACACTCAGAGCTCTTCAAATGGAAAGCGGGATTCGGAGGGAAATTAGCTGGCCTGGCTGTAACCATGAGTCCTCTACCCACAGACCACGTCTTCCTGGTTCCATTAATTTTGTTCATGTGTTTCAAAATTTGTCAACTGCCCTCATCTCCCCTAGAACCTCTCAGAACGTACCAGTTGATTCTCTGCTATTCTGAAGTTAATAAGAACTTCCGAGAAGAACAGGCATTCACCTAAAACCGCCCTGAAGGTTTTCTGTGGAAAGGACCTGCTGACATGCCGTGTAATCAGACATGTGGGAAAATGGCTTCTGGCAGCAAGACTGACCCTGTTGGAATACCCCCAAGATGTGTTAAAACCCAGCCAGCGCTGGCTTTGCCCTTGAACGCTGGTGCTTTGACATGCTGCGTCCATCCTTTAACAGCCGGGTGAGGGGCACGCTATGATCACTGCCAAGCTCAGAGGAATCAGAGGTCTCACCAGGGTCACTCAGGCACTCAGGGCTAGTCCTGGCTGAACCCAAGTCTTCTGATTCCAGTGCTTGTGTTATCCCACTCTTGCGGGCTGATTCTCAAACTTCAGCCTGCATCAGAATCACCTGGCCGTGCTCTGGACCACACAGATGGCTGGGCCTCACCCGCAAAGCATCTCAATCAGGAGGGCCTGAGTGAACATTTCTAACAAGTTCCCAGATGATGCAAATACGGCTGGCCCCAGGACCACACTTTGAGAACCACTGCACTAGGCTCCACCATATTGCATTGCATCCACTTTGGCACTACGTATTGCTTAATATAAGTAACCAGTCAGCTGAGACTTAGGAGAGTCTTGATTTCAATGTCAGAAGAGAAGTTTCTCCAGAGACTCATGCCATTGGGGCAGCGAGGATCTCGAATTAAGATCTTCCATTCTATGTGGAGAAATGCTGCCCATCCTCCAGATGTCCAAGGCACGATTAACTACACCGCGTGTTTTCGGTTGAACTCCCTCTGTCTCCCAGAAGCTGGGGTCCCAGCAAACAATCATGTGGAGATGGCCTTGGTACCTTTGAAGGAATTCAAGACCAACCCTCCCCGTGGGTGGAATTAGCAGCTGTTGATGTGACAGAATTTGGGAACCTCAGAAAGATGCCCATTTTGTTGCATTCCTGGTCAGTTTCCTCTCAAAGGGGCCCCTGGGGTTTACTCCTGGCTCCTCTTCTAAAATGAAAGTTCCCCTGGGAAGAGACACACAATCCATGCCTAACCTCTGAAATCACTTCAGCTGAGAGTCTTTTCCACAGAGGTGGGGCCCGGGGCAACCTGGAGGCGTGGAGGGTGGTGGCTGCAGGAAGGGAGAGAGCTCAGAAAAGGGACGAGTTATGCCAAACACAAATGCCACAGATACGGTCTCATCCCAGAGGACCCACTTCCTTCTAGGAAACGCTGCGAACGAGTCAGCCATCGGTCTGGACCCAGCTCTTCCTTGCTGGGACGTCTTGGGAATCCAGCCTACAGCATGGAACCCATCCTCAGGCCCTTTCTTCTGGTATTATCTGTGCCACTGTCTCTTTAGCTCTTCTCTCTGTTTTCTCCCCAGGCTCTTTGGCCAGGACGGCCTCTGCGCATCCTGTGACAGGCGGATCCGTGCCTACGAGATGACGATGCGGGTGAGGGACAAAGTGTATCACCTGGAATGTTTCAAATGTGCCGCCTGTCAGAAGCATTTCTGTGTGGGTGACAGATACCTCCTCATCAACTCCGATATAGTGTGTGAACAGGACATCTATGAGTGGACTAAGGTCAATGGGATGATATAGGCCAGATGCCCCAGCATCTCTGGAGAGGTGTTTCACTGAAGTCACTGTCTCCGTGGGGGTCTTCACTCTTAGGCATTTGGGGGATTTGAGGGTGGGCTGAGACATTTCTTAGGGGATGAAAGACCCTAATTGGATACCAAGAACCAATACACAGCATCCGAGTGACATAATGCAAGGGGGCAAAACTTAAACGTGACAAAATGACTGGGCTTGAGGGAGAACTTATGGACAATGGCCACAGCCTATGGGTAATAACTGACATGATTAGCGAGGGAGAGAGTGTTGGGGCTTCTGTGCCATCATGATGGAACTTCCCATCTACAGATGGGGATTTGTTCTGCCCAGACTTGTTATGTCTTTAACCCTTGAAAACTAGAGATGTGCAATTGATTTCTTTTCTTCCTGGCTTTTATGAGAACCCTGTTCCAACCATTGTCCTCCACACAAGGGAAGGACAGAGAGAAGAGTGGCCATCCTTTTCTTCTTGGCCACCTTCCCAAGGCCTTAAGCTTTGGACCCAAGGGACACTGCATGGAGACAACATTTCAGTTGAGGATGAAAACTGCAACTTTTAACCAAACAATTCTTTAAAGCAATGCTGATGAATCACTGTTTTTAGACACCTTAGTTTTGAAGTGAGGAGTTCCACAGATGGTTTCTATACAAATGTAAATCTAAAAAAAAAAAAGTTGTTCACCTATTTTATTATCTTAGATTATATCAAAGTATTTGTTGTGTGTAGTTTAAAAAAACTCTGAGGACAATAAAAATGACTGACTAAAACGCAGTGTTGTTTACCTGGTAATGACTTACAGTTTGGGATGGCAGGAAAAGAATGGCTTTTTATATTGTAAAGGAGAAGTAAATAAGCAATTTACTTTTAGGTCAAATAAAAACAAGTTTATGGCTAGGGTTTATGTGAGGCAGGCACGTTTCTATATTACTAGCAATTAGTATCTAACAGGGTCATCATGTAGCTCAGAGGGATGTAGAATAATTAGATTGCTATTGTAAAACCTGCATTTCACTTCAGCATTGTATAGAGTGAACAGAAGGCAAGATCTTTGCCTTTGGGAAACCTGTAACCTAGGAAGGACACAAATACATAAAACAGATTCCCTTGGGAGGGAAGGTAATTACCTAGTTTGAAATGTGGCAAAGATGCTGAGCTTGACACTTCGATTTTCCAAGACGTGTGTCTCAGGGTATTTTATGACAAGTGGTTAAGAGAACCTTACCTTGAGGATTTAAAGCAGGCACCTTGTCTGTGCGTTTGCCTTTCACCGCATCCAGGCAGCCATGAACTGACTCAGAGCGCCACCTGCTGGTCATCACCTCTCAGCTTACTAGTTCAAGAATGTCCCAATGAAAGACTAACGGGAGATGTATTTCAATGGTTACATAAAAATACTGGGAAGTACCAAGAAGTCTTAATGTGTTTAATTATCAAGACATCAGAAACATGCCTCTAGTGCTACAATTAATTAACTGTGATATTCCTTTAAAAAGTTCATCGCTAGGGTTTGCTTGGTTTTTTCTTCTTCTGGAGAAATAATTAAGTGATGGCTCTCTTGGTCTGTAAAGTACTAAAAATGGTTGGGAAGTTTGACTGCTTAGGGTAGCCTATTTAAAACAAATCTAGTTATACTGAATTTCAACTAGGTGTCGGTAAGGGACTTCCAGTGAGGGGATATTTGTTCTAAATCAACAAAGGGAAGTGGTTCTCCGATTGTGGTCCATGAACCAGCAGTATCAGTATCATTTGAGAACTTATTAAAAATGAAGATTCATGGGCTCCATCCCAGACAGAGTGAGTCAGAAATGCTGGGGATGGGGTTCAGAGCTTAAGAATGTTCTGAAACATCCCCCAGTTTGGTAGATCATCTGCTCTAAGTTGTTAATAGTTGGTATTTGACACAATGGTTAATCACTGAGTAACTTTTCCACATGTAGACCAACACTGTCTACCCCTGGTCCCTAAGCTGAAAACCTTTACATAATTTTGTCACTCAGCTAGCAGTTGTCATCTACCAGACCAATCACAATTCAATCCACCATTTTTAACCATATCGATCGACATTAATAATAATTATAATAGATTTTAGTTATGTGAATGATCCTATGTGCAGTATTAGGTCAAAATAAAAATGGTTCTTGCTTTTGAAATGTAAACTTTATTCTTAATCCCCATGATAGTATAATACACATAAGATTCAGGAGCTCAGCCAATACCTTTGCTATCCTCAACAAAGGGATAATTAACGTTTTCTATCTGTCCATGGCACCATTTTGCAGAATTGTGAATGCATAGGCAGAGTCTTTGTGGTAAGTCACCCCAGGGGCCCAAATGTCTCACCCACAACTGACTTGAGAGGAAGGACATGTAAAGAGAGGGACCAGCTCCCAGAATCTACCCTGGTGGTCCTTGCCTGAGCATGCAGGCTGTGTGTCCAAGACCCAGAGGCAGAGAACCAGGCACCTGCACCCTTCCCCGGTCCATGACTTACTTCAGCAATTTGGTGGAACATTTCACTTCCTCTTACCTTATTAATGTCTTGTAACCTGAACCAGCTTCCTTTTATTGCTGTCTCTAATAGAATCACTGCTTCTCAGGGAATCTTGGAATCCTACAAAGTTACAACAGAGCAGTGGCTAGGAGCTTTATCATCATAAGACTGGGATATGAATGGCAATGATGTGACTTAATTATTTAACAAACACTTACGCAGCAGTTACCATGTGCCAGGCACTCTTATAGGGGCTGTACAAATAGCAACTCCTTTAAGTGACAGAACAGCACCATGTGGCAGTTTCTATTTACTATCATCCACATTGACTCCCGGGGAAACTGCAGCACAGACAGGCTTAGTCATCTGCCTAAGGTCCTACGGCTAATAAAGGGCAGAAGTAGCCTGTAACTGAGGCCTCACCCTGTGCTCTGCTGCCTCTCTTAGGCTCACGTCCCTGAACCTCAGGTTTCTCATCTGCAAAATAGGGAAAATGAATACCTTTCTCCCCAGGTTATTTGAAACCATTTGAGTACAGTCTAGCCAGAAATGTAACCAAAGTACAATGATATGAGATTAGCACCATAATAAAGATATGTCAAACGTGCTATGGAAACACAGATGAGGGAACAATTCTATTGGCCCTTGGGCGGCTATCTGGAGTAAAGCAGAAGTGACATTTCAAATGCCCCTGGACCAGCAAGGAGGTGACACAGGCAAGAGCAAAGACTCAGAGACCTTGGCCTAGTGGAGCAGGTAGTCAAGTGAGCCCAGAGTTTTCATGGTGGTGGTGGTGGAGGTGGTGAGCTTTGGCTGGAGGGGGGCTGGGCCAGTGAGTAAATAGCAGGGGAGATGAGGTCTTCCACAGTTTTGAGACTGAATGGCAAATCAAAATCCAAACCCAGGAATCTCTGAGAGGTGGAGGGAGGGTGCAAGGAAGGTATAACAGTGGCCTGGAACATCTTATTATGCTAGAAAACAAGGAACTGCTTTAAAAAAAGTGATGTAGGCATGCCACAAGGACAAAGAAGCCAGCTTGAAGGGGCTGGCCAATCTGGAGCAATTTGACTACCAAAATAATTAAGGATAGTAATGAGTTACAAAGTGTTGGGGGGAAAATAAGAATTCGTGAGTTCATACCAATAATAAATAAATGGAGAGAATAAAGGGCTCTTGTTTACAGCAGAATCTTGAATGCCAACAGGTAAATGTGAAGAGAGTGTGGGAGTTGGCAAGTCATCATTCTGCAACTATCATAGTGAAATGATAGAATCAAGGAAGAATCATCAAGAGTTGCTAAATTTCAACAAAGAGAGAGCAGGATACTTGGACGGTCTTAAAGTACCTTTCCATATATTGTTTTTCGTTGCAAGGGGGAAACCCATAATTACACAGTGGAGACATTGGACAGCACCCTGACCAGGTGATCAGTGAGGGGCGGATGGACCATGTGTGCCTCCAGATATGATTCTCTGTGAGGGACATACCGTCACTGTTTTAGGATTCCTCCTGAGAATGCATAGCCTGAATCTAAGTATGAGACAAATTACCAGGCAAACTCAAAACGATGAACATTGTATTTTTAAAAAGGGAGGAGATGGGACTCTATTTTCAAAAATGTCAGTGTCATAAAGAATAAAGAGGGCTTCCCTGGTGGCGCAGTGGTTGAGAGTCCGCCCGCCGATGCAAGGGACACGGGTTCGTGCCCCGGTCTGGGAGGATCCCATATGCCGCGGAGCGGCTGGGCCCGTGAGCCATGGCCGCTGAGCCTGCGCGTCCGGAGCCTGTGCTCTGCAACGGGAGAGGCCACAGCAGTGAGAGGCCCGCATACCGCAAAAAAAAAAAAAAAGAATAAAGAAAATCTGTGGGAATGTTCCAGATTCAAGAAGGCTAAGGAGACCTGACAACTAAGTCCAATACCTGGCCCTTTACTTTCCCTCCAGTACTGGAGGGGGAAAATGCTATAGAGGATATCATTGGGGCAATTGATAACATTGAAATATGAGAGGGTAGGTTAGTTCAAATTATTGCACAAATGCTAAATTTATTGAGGTTGACAACTGTACTGTGGTTACATAAGAGACTATCCCTATTTTTAGGAAATATACAGTGGAATATTTAGGACAAAATGGTCATGACATATGGAACTTAGTCTCAAATAATTAAGAAAAATTTACGTGTGGTGTGTGTGTGTCTGCTGTGTGTGTGTAGAAAGAGAGAGACAGAGACAGAGAGAGGGCAGGGTGGGAGGAATAAATGGCAAAGCAAATGGGTAAAAATGTTAACAGGTGAATCTAGCTATGGGCTACACAGGTACACTATTTTTATTCATGCATCTTTTCTATCAGTTTGACACGTTTACAAATGAAAAGTTTTTTTAAACTTTAGAAATCTTGACCCTTTCTTTTTGGGAGCTTTTGATTTAATTAGGAGAAGAATAGGAGAGATGATAAAGAGAGGGAAAATATAGTCTGGAAGTCAGTGATACTCTACTATTCGTTTATCACAATTTTAATGTACTTCTAGCCTTAGAAGTAAAGTTCATGTGTCTCAAGCCAGCAGTTCCTTGCAAACACACACATGTAATGTAAATGATGTGTTTAGGAGGATTCACTTAGTGCCAGTTTCTGAAGCAGGTTATTTCTCAACCTTATAAAATGAGTTTGATACAAATTCTTCATTTCCTTTGAAATTAGGATCAAGATGTAATCATCTGGCTCTGAAATGTGTGTATTTTAGGACCAGGAATCTAAGCTATAATGTTTTGTACATAGATCTAAGAATTGAGTTGAAAGAAGTCTCAAAGCACTAAAGTGACTTTCGTCCTCTACCAGTGGCTGTGTGTTAATTCTCCCAGAAAAGCATCATTTCTCTGAGTTAATAGAATCTTTGAAGCTAAATCAAGTCAATTTCCATTGTAACGTTGTGAAGCTTTTGAACTGGGCTCATGGAATTATCCTACTTGATGGCCACCTTGAAGACGGCTTTGTGGTGATCCTAAGAAAACCCACAGACGCAGCTTCTGTGTGTCACGGCCTTTCCACCCCACCTGATTCATTCTCATTACTTAATGAGCAGCTCAGGGCAAATGCCCCACACCCCACCCCTTAGATAAATAGTAGGTAAAATAGATATCAAGGCAATCTAATGTGGTAGAAAGAACCCTGAAATGGAAATTGGAAATGTGATTTTGCCTCCAATTAGGGTTATGTCTTCAGGCAGACCTCAGTTTCCTCATCTGCGAAATGAAGAATGTATTACAGGTTATCTCTAGGAATTT